AATGACTTAATTGCTTGTATTTCTCAGCCAAATTCTAACAATCTTAGAAATATAGCCAAAAATATGCTGCTATACTAATTTAGCAATGTCTTCAATGGCATGCCTTCTGGTTTTATTACTAAATATGTACAGAGAGTTTAAAGAATTCAAATTAACATTAAATTGTTAGCTGGTAGTGTAGCATAACTGCATCTGGCTATTGGCCTAGTAAAACAAGTTAGCAGCTCCAAAAAACAGCATTTTAGGTGGAGAAAACATTATCGCTTTAGCGTTTGCACAGATTTAAGGTATTGGACAAAGATGACTGAACTAGGGCCATATCTTTCCTTAGCCGTATAACTTCAATGGAAAGACTTGATAATGAAACAACACATCATACAAGATTATTGTAGGAAGAAGCTGTAGGAAGAGTGCCATATATGTCCTGTCTGGTCCTGGAAGATTGAGCTTAATATAAATATAATAAATACATTTAAAAGATTATCTATGTAGCTGACTGTGATTGATTGATTACATGTCATCAAGTCATTTAAACTCTTAGCCCTATAGATAGATTTTTCTCCATAATGACTTACTTCTAACCTTCTCTTTCAGGTCTTCCAAGAGTGACAGTCTTAATAATAGTTGACATAGTATGGTCATTTGCTCAGTCATTTTAATGTTTAGACTGGCATCTGGCATTTTTGTCAACCTATAGAGTCATAATTCTCATTATCTGTTCACAACAGTACAAAGTCACAGCTGCAAATTCTTTAGCTTGCATTAGTTTTCATAAGTATCATTTTTTTCACAAGAACCTAGGATGTTGTAATGAATTGGCATAGTATATGTGTAGCCAGGTAGTGTGGCCTTTTGCAATTGGTAACATTTCTGCTGTCCAATAGCATCTAGCATGCTGATAACTAATGGTACCACCATGGTCACTTCATGCCATAATTTATTTCAATTTCAAGTTTTTATTATGATGATGATTGGTGACACAGTCAGCCAGATATGTAGATTGGATTTCATGTTTTTACCAAACTATTGTATTTTTCCTAAGGACCTAAGATAGGCAGATATTGATGTTTCATGCTGTTAAAGGTATCATCCTAGTATGTAAGCTGTTCCAAGTAAAGCTGTCTTTTGAATTTTTTTTGGCAGAACTGATAGTGTTCCATGGTGCTGCAGTTGTTTTGGAATTGCACGCAATGTACCTATTACTATTGGTACTACTTTTCCTTTCTTTTGCCACAGACACTCTATTTCTATTTGGAGGTCTTTGTATTTTATCTCCTTCAGCTCTTTCTCTTCTATTCTGCTATCTCCAAGTACAGTCAGATCCACTAAGAAGACTTTTTTTTCTTTCCTATAGACAATTATTATGTCTCAGGTGTTATCTAACACATGCCTATCTATTTATACTCTAAAGTACAAGAGCATTTTTGCTTCTCCATTTTCTATAACTTTTCCTATTTTATGATCCCACCAGTTCTTGTTTGCAGGCAATTAGTATTTCTTGAAGATTCCAATGCATCATTGTTTGTCATGCTTGTTTGTGGTTAGTCTGTTCAATCTTCTTACACCTACTGTTTCTTCAATTTTTGGCAAAAGCGGCACTTGCTGCCTGTTGCCATCTTCTTTATTCTGACTTTGTATGCATTTATTCTTAAGGTTTGGTCTTGTGTAGTCAAAATCAACCCCTCTGTCTGTTTCATCCACTCTTAGCCACTGCCAGGTCTTGGTATTATCTGCTTTGCCTGCTATTTTTAATGTATTGATCATGTAATACTTTTTCTCCCGTGTCTCTTTTTTTGTTTTTCATTTAGACTTTCTTGTAGGCCAGTTTGGTCTTTCCAATACTCAATAAGCTTTCCTGGTATAGAAGCTTCAAAGCAACTTCTTCACTGTCCTTCAGATACTCTTCCAATGTCCTTTTTTCTTTTTCAATGACTTGATATGCTTGAAGCATTCCATGCAATTCCTTCTTGTTGTCTACATGTCAACATTGCTGCAAGGATGAAGGGAATGATTCATTGTCATTATTTTTCTGGTCTTCATATCCATGGCTTTTAGTTGTGATTGAGTCCAGTCCAGGCTATGTCAGCTGTACATCCAGTGATTGGAATTGCCCAGGTATTAATTGCCTTGATGGTATTTCCTCCACTGAGTTTGGACTTTAAATCTTCTTCACTCTCTTGATATATTCAAGACTAACTAATTTTTTTTACTTCATTGTGCTTGATGTTGTGAGCTTGAAGGATGCCCAGGTATTTGTAGTAATTGTCCTCATACAGATATTTCCATTGATTCCTTCAGTTTTCACTATTTCTTCCCATTCAATGATGAGAGTGGAAGATTTGTCTTACTTTTTTTCATTCAAGCTGTTTTAGTAGGTAGTGCTCAATACAGTAAAAAATGTGGGCAGTTTTAAAGAAATTTAAAATTGACAGTTCAGTATTACTACTAAATTTTACTACTAAAATTAAAAGAAACCCTTTAGCCCACACAACTAAACAGACTGAGATAAAATGCCACTTGTGTTTTCTTAAATCATACAAAATAAATAAAAATGTAGAAATAATTATTTGTATGTTAAGAATATGGCCATGAAAGCTAAGGAAAATTCATTTACCTAAGGTGATAGCACCCCTACCCTGTGAGGTGGACTGAGCTGAGAGAATATGACTGGCCCAAAGTTACCCAGTCATTTTATATATCAAAAGTGAGACACAATCTTAGATTACTTTAGACATAAAGCCCCTAATATCTGGGTTTTGATTCACTTTTTATATTATTTTGCAAAGTAAAACTGTATTCAGATACACTACCACATAGTTTAAAAGACCAGTGTGAAGGTAAACAATTATGAATCAGTTTCAATATTTGCCTCAGAAGTCAAACAGATAAAAACTAATTTGGCAGTTGTAGAACAGCTGTATTTTTTTTAAAAAAAACCCAAAAACATTGTTGGAGAGTTTAATCCAGTTAAAGTCAGGTAATATTATCTGGTTCTGTAGGTTGTTAAAATAAATAAGCAAAATCCAGCTTTATCATGTATTTTACTTTGAAGGGGAAATATTCCTGCATCCTAAAATTTAAATTATTTAATTTAGAATATGCTCATGGGCTACTAGGATCCAGTAAGATATGGATATGGATATATATATATATATATGTGTGTGTGTGTGTGTGTGCGCACGCGCATCCGTCCATATGTACATACGTCCATATGTACGTACGTATGTTTTTGTAGATTTTCACGGGTGTAGGTATGCTGGTCTTGTTTTATTTGGGTCTTTTCCCATGTAAGATCGAGATTGTCTTGGCAACGTTTCGGCGAGATCTCACTCTCCATCTTCAGGCTGGTGTTTTTGGCTTAAAGCATGGTCGGAGCTGCCGGCTTTCTATAAATCTTGGTGTGGGGGTGGTGTAGAGTGTTGGCTTTGTTTCAGTAAGTGGATTGATTGGCTGTGTGGTTGTATCATGATTGGTAGATTGGTACTGATTGGTGCTGGCTGTGTGTCCATTGTTGTTTTGTGTTGTAATGGCCTGGGTGGTGGGTCGGGCTCGTTTGTTGACTAGGGCTGGTTTCCAGATCTCTGGTAGGCAGGAGGTATCATCATGTTTATTCACGTTGTGGGGGGGTTTATGGAAGCTATCGAAATAGAGAAACACCCCCACAACATGAATAAACATGACAATACCTCCCGACGGCAGCTCTGACCACGCTTTAAGCCCAAAACCCAGCCTGAAGATGGCGATGAGACCTCGCCAAAACGTTGCCAAGACAATCTCAATCTTACATGAGAAAAGACCCGAATACAACAAGACCAGCATACATACACCCGTAAAAAAAAATCATCATCTTCATCATCATCATCATTGCCATCACCATCCGTTAGCTTTAATGTATTTCTGATATCATACACAGTTACGAAAGATCCATATGCATTCAGAGAAAAATATAATATAATTTCATCATATTCAAAGCTCGAGAACTACGGTTCCTTCATTATAGGCAATTGCTCAAAGAGATTGACTTTAGTTATTCAAGATTCAAAATGATGTAAAACTTTGCACACTAGCCAGGCATGTAATGGTCTAGTGGCAAAGCAGCTACCTTGCACACAAAGTCTCTGTCATTTCTAATTAAAAGATCCAATAGGAGAATGTAGGCAGTTGCTGTTAGTTAGCAGACTATAACGACAATAGTCTGAACTTGTGCAGACAATTTCCTATATTCCCTTTACTAAAATTATTCCTAGAAAAAAAGTAATATTCGAAGCTCTTTCAAAGTCACAGACAGCACTAGTCTCTGTTTCGGAAGTTGTCATACATAGAGGCATTTTTGACACAAAAGGATGAAATGACACTCATTCAAAGCAATTAAAAAAAAAAAAAGCAAACATAAAAATAGGCTCTTGTTACTTTTTTGCCTGGCAGTGAGTTATGTAATCACAGGAGGGACATCTTCACATGCATTCTATATGCAAATTTATTTGCTGTTGAGCTAAAACCACTGGAAAGGAGATTTTATCAACAATGTGTGGGCTAAAAAGGAACAAGAGCCCCCAAATCTTTAAGAAAATATGAATACAAAACATTTTGCTTCTTCATCAAATGCCTATGTTTGTATATATGTAAAACATGCACAGCATCAAATACTGCACTATTTGGCATTCAAATGTAGAGCCACAAATATTGAGAAAAATATATAAGAAAGCACACAAACTTATAAACATTCAAAATATAGTGGTTAGCTGGAAAAATGCAAACTACCCAATATTATTCTTTACCAAATGTTTTCAACTGCTACCAGGTTTTTTTTTAAATATACTTTTAAGTTCTGAGTTGAATTCTTTGTAATTTTGCAAACAAAATATCTTTGGTGAAGAGAAGGATCTACAACAAGGGTTTTTTTTAAAAAAATTAGATGATTTTTTTTTACTATGACATTACGTCTTTACTCCTAGAATTTATTTTATTGATAAAGGACTATATAAAACACCTATTCCATCTGTAACAATGCATTGAGAGCTTTGAGTGTTTTAACATGCAAAAGAGTTGATCTTTTTTCCTGAGATTATAAATATTATTTAAATTCCTACATATACAGTAGCACATATTTGAATTCCAAGCAAACTCTATGATGGTTCAGAGCTGCCACAAAATTCTGCAACTGTATGATTATTTATAATTATATTGTTTTCAGAAGATACTTTCTTTAAAGATCAAAAGTCTGGGTATTAGCTACAGTAACACTCTAGTTTTATCTTTCACACAAGGGAAAACATTTCTTAATCTGTGTGGCACTGAAAAACCACCACAGACAAAGGTTTCCATTTATAGGGTTTACATGCCTTTTAACTAAGTTTGAAATTGAGGGACTAGACAAGAAATCTTTTAGCAAACTTTGGACATTAGCAGTGCATTCTTATACATGCACAGACATATACAGTTCAGTGTGTTTTGAAACTCTCTGCAAAAGTCAAATAACCACAAGAAAAAAGTGAAAATGAAGATATGTGCAAATGGATTTTGCCCTGTGCATTGAATAGCATGTACATCTTCTGTCTTTGACAGTAGGATCTTTAGCAAGGCAAAGTTAAAAGGAATCCCAAAAGGAGGTTTTATATATATATGTGTGTGTGAACTTTGGAAAATTTTAAAAGCAACCTGGACTATCCTCTTTATATTCTGATTTGGGTTTGATTATAGACATTTAAAAGGAACAGGGTTTTTCATGGAACTAGAGAAGCAATAACAAATGCATGATGTCAGGTTGGTGTCCTTTTTACAAGTGACTCTTTAATAGTTGTATGCTGTGCTTTACCAGGTGCTATTACTCACATATTAGGAAAGGAACAACTATTAGGAGTAGTTGTGATACAACTATATCAAATTTAGACAATGCAGTTTTATCACCTGTAGTCAATAGGAAGTTAAACTGTCAATTAATTCATAGATCCAAGATATGGTTGAATCAGTAGGATTGACTCAAAATACACAGTATTGGTTTATACAAAAGAAAGAAATAAAACTAAAGACTTTAGTAGGGTAATGTTGAATCATCCCACTCCAACTGATCTTGCCTGGTTGTATTTTGTTTGTTTCCTTTATTCCCTGTGGCTTCTTCCTCTTCTTCTTCTTCTTCTTCTTCCTCTTCAGTCTCATCTGACTCTGCACTGGTTGTATCATCTTCATCTTCAATTTCTTCCTCGTCACTTTCTTGTTCTCCGCAAGGTTGTTCATATTTCTATGTATAATAAAGAAACATAAAATGGAGCTGCTGATAAGAAGAAAAGAACCTTCTAAAGTTTATTTGTAAATTTCTAAATGAGAGTGTGTGGTTGGTACGTGTTTAGATATACCCCAAAGAAAATGAAATCACCCTTCAAATGTATAGTCCTATTTGATAGGGCTAACTATCAGCTGAGAAAATTATAGACTAACAGATTTACCTAGAGATAAATGAAAGTGACCTTCCTTACTAAAATCCACAAAAGCTAAAGAATGAAACTAAATAACAAAAGCAGTTATATCATTCAATTATATATGACCTGACATCTTTTCTATAAGATCATATTAAATAATTAATCAGATAAAACAATCCAACTTGAATGTCATCCATCTGTTCTTGATTAAGCAAGCACTTCTACTCAATTTTTTCACTGTAGCTTTGATACAGAGATATTCATCAATAATACATTATTAGATTCAGCATGTGAAAAAAGGCCAAGCTACAACTATTAAAAAATGTAATATGACCTTCCTGAATGACTGAACAAGGACACTGTCATTAAAATGTTTGCAAAGTTATTTTCATAACTTCAATGTATTATAATAAGTGTTTACATCCTTCTAAGATTAAACCAATTTCTTCAATAAGAGCTGATATAATAATTCCATGAAATATAGAATTCTGAACAGCCTATCTACCCATGTTTTCCCAAAACCAAGATCCTGTCTTATATTTTGGCCACCAAAAAAGGCACCAGGTCTTCTTTTCAGGGTGTGTGTATTGTCCACTGAATCACCTCACTTGCGGACATCCCTTCCGGCCTCTGTTTTGCTGTCAGAGACCTTCAGAAACTTCCTGAAGGCCTCTGAGCCAATAACAGAACTCCGGATCAATCCAAAGCTCTGTTATCAGCTACAGAGGCCTTTAGGAAAGCCTTGTAGGCCTTGCCAGCTGCAGAAAAAAATAGGCTGGCAAGGCAGGTGTCTGGGTGTGCAAGGCCTGGCTGCAAATGTCCGAAGGTAAATAGTAGGGCAGATCCACCACCATCCCATCTGCCCTCTAACTTAATTTTTACCCGTGCACCCAGGAGTGGGCAAAGTCTTAATTAAGGCTTATTTTGGGGGGTAGGACTTATATTGGACACATGTATAAAAATCAAGCTAGGACGTACTTTTAGGGTAAGTCACATTTTCGGGGGAAACATGGTATGTGTATCTGAGTATATCTTTAGATAGACTAGATAGATATCATTTTCAGACACATGACAATATTAGAAATAAGGCCAATCTAAAAGTAGGAAGGATGATTTTCTTTTCACCCAATACATTTAATAAATTTTGCAGGGGGGAGGGGGGGTAGCCAAAGATGATTTTTGAAAAAGATTTCTGTATGTAAATGAAAAATAGGACTGGTAGCAAGAATATAGCACAATATGGCTTTTCTACTTACTTCCATGGGATTGATTGTGATAGTCAGAGCTGAGTCATCCCAGTCCATTTCATTTTCTTTATTAGTTTCATTTTCCTTTGAAGTATGGTAGCAAGCTGAATGAATTCTGTACACCCCCATAGATATGATGAAGACTAAGACACTGACACAGATTATGATGATGAAGGTAGCCATACTTGGAAGTACTGAAATGAAATAAAATGGAGCAATTTAACATATTCTTTCAGTGCCATTTAGGTATATTTAGTGTTTTTAGCATTTTCTTAATTAATAAAGCTGCTATGTTATAATTATAGCAATTATAGGTATAATGATACCTAAATGTAACTGCAGTTACATTTGTTTTGTTGTTGAACTTAAAAGAAATCATTACAAAAAGGATAACAATACAACTCACCAATACAGAGTTTAAAAAAAAAACAATAGCAATTTCATCTGTAGGTGATCATCACATTTAAAATGTCTTTTGTGTATAGAATCCCTTACTATTATTATATAATTCCAGCTCTTGAGTTCCAGAAACTACCCACGCAGTCAGTGAATATGTAAATGGATAATATGTCTTCCAATAGAATCACATACACAATATCATCATCAGTATAGAGGACACCATAATGCATAAAACTATTTATACAAAATTATCCTCCTCACATACTCATTTTGTATGCATGGATACAAGAGGTGCAGCACATGTAAAATCTAGGGAAGAGTTTATTTGGTGCCATCATGTTCTTTGTTCAGGCCAAGTTCACTGAGCAAATGAAAAGAAGAATTTGGCAAGGGAGTTTAATGAGGCACCCACAATACATCTTTGTAAGTCATGTGTTTATACTTGGTTAACACAAAAGTTTGAGAAGGGACAAAGAATGAATAAAAACTCTCTAATTATGCTTTAAGAAGTAAAAGCAGCAATGAATGGGCATGAGTTTATGATGAGACCTTTCATGCCAATGGCAAATTTGTTTTCCTGCCAGAAAACAACCTGGCATATATTTACCACCAATGCAAGGACATTACAACATTGAATAAAAAGTCTAGAGAAAGAAGCAGCAAACAGAGACATTTAAGCTGATAAGAAAATACAGTGATTTATCAGTAGAAAGAAAGCAGATGTCACAACAGAAATTAACAGTGGGAGCAACTCTTTATAGGGACAGAAAAGGAGAGAAGCAAGCTCAGTGAATAGAAGGATGCCAAAGATATTCTGTATCACTGGAACAATAAAACTTAGGGAAGAAAAAATAAAATGACACTTCAGAATTAGAATGTTAGGTTCCCGAGTGGCAGAGAGAATGCAGCTATTAAGACAAAGAAAAAGAGTTGGGGGAATTGGTTGTTCATTAATATGAAGAACTGCAACAAGTGTATGCTGATCAGACTCAATGGCATATAAAGTCCGCTTGTGCCACTAGCATAGATCAGGATATAACAGAACAGCTTTCAACTCTAATTAAGTTCAGCAAAAATTAATCCTTCTGCTATGTTGATATATAATACTTCAAGAAGCAGCTATAAGTGCATTGCCACAGATTTTGAAAACCTTGGAAGAAAGCTTAAGGCCCTGAAGGTGTATGCATTATTCTCATGAAATAGGACAGGAAAAGGAAAGAAAAATACTGCAATTACTAGCTATGCAAATGGTGTTGATGGGAAAGATACTATTTCTTGGATCATGGTTTGAGTTGTGTTGATGATGAACTGTTTATAACATATCAACATATTTGATGTTTATAACATCACAAGATGTCTTTAGAACAAAGAATGGGTTGTTTGATTGGGACTGAATTCCCTAGCAATATAGGGATGTCAGTTTGGTTGGACATCTGGAATATGAATTATATGAATGTTCTAGTTAGCATTGCTCCAAATGGCTTCTCTCTCTCTCTTTGTCAAGTGACAATTCATTATGATACTGGTGAAACTGGAACATTGACTGTGACCAGATGCAAATACTGTATAAGCTCAAATATGAGCTTACATTATGGCAATATTGATGGTGAAGTGTCAGTACTTTTCCACACTTAGAGCTTTTACCTAATGCAGCACTTTTTAGAGTGATTTGGGCCTTGGTAGGAAGGATGGGCCAAAAGAATCATGAATGGGTTGTTGTGTGCATAAAATAATACACGTTTGCTTTGAGTTGGAAGTTGGATGCATAGAATCTGATCAGCTGATAGAGATGACATCTGGAAATGTTATCTGGGAGGTTTTTGAGCTTGTAGATCTTGATGAAGGAACAGGATTCTTGGGCTTGATCATTATCCCAGCTGCCTGACAAGGTGCTATTCCTCAGTTTTTTAAATATTTTTATTAATGATTTAAGTGAGGGCGTGAAAGAAGAAATTGACTTAACTTCAAAATTATCTTTATGAATGAAAGAAAATAGGCTGAAAGTAACTACATCAAATTTAACCAGAGTTAATAGGTGAGGTGAAGGCCATGGGCATAGTGTGTGATATCACCCAAGCACTCAACAAATTTCTAATATCTTTATCAATAAAATAGTAAAACAAGAGCTATGTTATATATTGATTTGCAATTAGCTGAATGCTAGCAAATAGGACTTATAAATAGTTTTACACCAACTTGGAGAAAAGTATTGAGTGGAATACTACCTTTTGCTATTCAGAATATTATTAATAACATACCGTATTTTTCAGAGTATAAGAAGCACCAGAGTATAAGACGCACCAAGATTTTGAAGAGGGTTTTTTTTTTAAAAAAAGTAGGTAGGTAGGTAGGTAGGTAGGTAGGTAGGTAGGTAGGTAGGTAGGTAGAGAGAGAGGGAGGGAGGGAGGGAGAGAGAGAGAGAGAGATGGAGAGAGAGAGATACAGTAGGTAGGTAGGGAGAGTGAGTAGTTAGGTAGCTAGATAGATAATGGGATAGAGAGAATAGTGACTGTTCTAAAGCGTCATGGAATGGCTTTTGCAAGGGATACCAGGAGTCGTCCCCTATTTTGACAACATTTTGCTATTGGCTGCAAATAAAGTGCAACTTTTTTTAAAAACCTAGGACTGTTTTGACCAGAATTAGTGAAAAATGTCTTCAGCTCAAAAGAGAAAAATGCCAAATTAATGTTCCTAGGGTCAAATTTTTATGGTACCTGATTGACGACTCTGGAATTCACCCTACAAACAAAAAAATTAAGGCAATCCAGGATGTCCCTACACCTCACAATCAGATCAAGCTCCAGGCATTCCTCAGACTCCTTAATTTCTATGGTGTCTTTCTCAAACAGAAAGCCACAGTTGCTGAGCCTTTGCATAGGCTCCTCAGCAAAAAGGTGAAATGGACCTGGGGCAGAGATGAACCTGCCGCATTTGCGTGGTGAAAAGTCTGCTGTCAGAAGACATGTTCCTGGTCCAGTACAACCAGATTCTACCACTTGTGCTGACTTGTGACGCTTCCCCGTTCGGCCTCAGGGCCATCCTCAGCCACCGCATGGTGCCCATTGCCTACTACTCGTGGACCCTGTCAGCTGCCGAGCGGAACTACAGCCAACTAGACTGTGAGGCTCTGGCTGCGGTAGCTGACATAAAATGGTTGCATGAGTACTTGTATAGCCATGATTTTAAAATCCTCATGGACCATAAACCGTTTTTGGGCTTGCTGGCTGGGGATGGCCTTCCCCATCGCTGTCACCGCAAATGTCTCATTGGACTACTTTCCTCACGGCCTAAAGCTACCACCTCATTCATCGATTGGGCACCACATCAGGACATGCTGATACACTCAGCTGGTGCCCTCTTCCAGAACTGCTTGCCAATCTGACCCCTGAGACCCCAGTCCTGCTCATAGACTGCCTTGAGGCTGGTCCTGTGTCCTCCAGTGAGGTCACCCACCATTCAACTAAAGACCAAACTCTTAAACAAGTTTTGAACTGGGTATGAAGGGGGTGGCCCAAAGGCCGGTTGGCCAGTGTTTAAAATGTTTTTTGCTAAAAGGGATGAACTGTCTGTTGTCAATGGTTGTTTACTGTGGGGGGATCGGGTTGTTGTTCCAACCAAACTGTGGGTTGCAGTATTTAGAGGCCTTTCACATAGGGCATCCAGGAATTGATGAAATCTTTGGCCAGGAGTTATGTGTGGTGGCCTAACATGGATAGGGAGATTGAGGAATGGGTGGCTACCTGCACACAGTGCCAGGAGTCCAGACCAGCTCCCCCAGAGGTGCCCCCTAACAGTATTTATTTTAGTTTGAGCTGTTTGGTTTTTAGGTTTTCAGTTGTTTTTCTGTTTCTTCTAATTTTGATGGAGATGAGCAGCCAATAAATTGCAAGAAGAAAAGAATACCACTGCCATCAAGGAAATATGTACCATTGTGTTGTGGGTGGGGTGGGGTGGAGGGGTTTTAAAACTTTAATCTTATGATAAATTGTTAAGGAATAGGTGCTGCATGATAAGCTTGAGTAGCCTTGAGATAGCAGGCTGAATCAAGGTAGGCCTCAAGCCTGAACCAAACTAGGGTCTCATGATATTAAGCTTTAGCAATAGCAATAGCAATAGCAGTTAGACTTATATACCACTTCATAGGGCTTTCAGCCCTCTCTAAGTGGTTTACAGAGTCAACATATTGCCCCCAACAACAATCCGGGTCCTCATTTTACCCACCTCAGAAGGATGGAAGGCTGAGCCGGTGAGATTTGAACAGCCGAACTGCAGAACTGCAGTCAGCTGAAGTAGCCTGCAGTGCTGCATTTAACCACTGCGCCACCTCTGCTCTAGCTTTAACTGTTCATATATAGAATTTGCAAAGGTTTGCTTTTAGGACATGGTGCAGTTAGACACTGGTTAGAGGCACATGAAAACCGCTGTAGCAAAGTCTCTATTTTAATATATCTGCTGGCTTGACTGTAAAATCTGTCTGGAAGGACACAATTTACTTCCTCAAATATATGCTATGTTGGCTGTTAGCTGACTATGTATTATTACTTTCTGTAGACATAATATGCTGTAACCCAAGGGCGAATCTTGAGGGTGTTTCCAAAACTAACAGATGGCTTTATCTGAACGTGACACACTATATAAGGGATTTCCTGCCTGTCTCTCGGGGTTCAGGCCTTTGTTTCTGAACCTGCGCAAATAAACTATTCCTTCCCTGAAGAGCTGGCTTGCGTGTCCTGTTTTTTCTACAACAGTTTTAAGGAGATATATAATATCAATCTTCATTTAAAGGAGCAGGAAGGAGGAAGAAGACTTTTTTTCCTTTCACCAGAGATATTCAACCTGTAATAGTGTATGGGAAAGACCTTGGGAGAATGGGCAAAGAAATGCTGCCTAGGAAATGATCAGAAAAGAGGCAGTGTGGCCTGCAACTGCAGGGCAAGAAGTTCAGAAGAGGCCCTCAGTTTCCCATGCTGTAAAACAGAGGATAGGAGAATTGTACTTTAGATTGGCATGATTGCTGTCAGTTTTACCACACAGAAACACAGGAAACACAACCAGATGAGCTAAATCTACTTTATTGTAAAGCTATATAAACAGAGTCTTGCAAGAACAATTATCCTGCCATATTAAATTACAGGAATTCAGATTCCAATTAAACGTTAGAACTTTTCTAACAATAAGAAATGGTGGCCTCCCCTTCACTAGATGTACTTCTACATAAACATAAAGTAGGTTAATTTTTGTTAAATCCATTCTTATAATGTAATACCTGAGCTTTGCATATTGTTTGTGCTTTCCTCTGGGTGATGGATAGTTTGGAGAAATTGTGGCTCTTTTATCATCAAATTTGCATATTCCATGGAATTAGAGTTGGAATTATGTAGAATATTAACCTAGAAGAAAACAGGACGTAATATTACAAATATGAAGTATTCACAATAATATTAATCATATTTTGCATAATAGTCAAGCTGAGAATTTATATTCAGGCAGAAATATTATCAGGTCACAATTTGCATTTGCTTTATATGGGAGCACTTAATCCGTAGGGTGATGATTTCAGATTTACCAACTAAATCAGAGAAAATAATTATGAAAAAAGGGACTCTCATATAATTTCAGGGGTGAAAAAGAATTATGAGATCAGTTGATCTGTACCTAATCAATTGCACCCTGAATACAGCAAGCTAGTCAACTAATGCTGGAGAATATATTTCACAACTATCTTGTTGCAGTAATGTTCCATAAAAAACCCCAAGTTACAAAAGCACAAAGTTCAATGAAAGAGTAGAAATAACAAATATAAGGAGCATAGGCAGTCTGTTGTCCACAAGACAAATCCAGTGAGCAATCTGAGTGCAAGTTCATTGTCTTATGCTAACGTTGTTCCAGGTGATTTTCCTTAAACCTTGCTAAATTTAGGCACTCTATTATTAAGCTGCATGCCAGATTATTAGGATATTCCCCTGGGAATTCCAGAAATACAAGGTATCCACCTTGTGTTTCTGGAATTCCATGGGGAATGTCTGAATAATATATAAGGTCCTTATGGCAGAATAGATTTATCCTGCAATAGAAATGTCTGAAAACTCCAGACATCTGATCATGGCAAACAATCGACATTTATGTTCTCCCGTGTCAGATCACATACTAGCTGTTCTCAGGTGAAAACCTGATATAGTATGTGGTGCTCCGTGTAAATCAGAGCTCTAATCTTCTGGAATAAGCACATGAATGTCATAACAAGTATTTCTGGATGGTTCTCAATTCTGTCCTAAAGTAGTCATTTAAAAATGTGTCTACTGCACAGAGTTCTATATTTCACATGCTTGAGAAACAAGCCCTCAAGAATGCTGACTATATCAAATTAAAAGAAACAACATTTGTGAGGGAAAAATTGTTCTTTATAAATAAAGAATAACCTCATTACAGTCTCTGGTTTAAAAATGTCCTAGTAAAAAATTATTAATTAAATGACTTAATTAAATTAATTAAATGACGAGAAAGTATCTGTCAGCTTTCCTAGGTAAACCAGATAGGAAACATTAGTAGATGAGTTATATCTACTTTATTGTAACACTACATTAATAGAATCTTGCAGACCTGAAAGCATAAAACTTTCAGACACCACTTTTAATTGTTTAATTTGTTAACACATTCCTTTCTAAGTTTCTTTGTCTATGAGATGGCTACTATGTGATGACTTCCCTGGACAGGTCCCCAGATGCCAGTTCAGATGAGGAACAGCCAATTCCAGGACTGTCAAAGGGGTGTGTGGAGGAACAGCCAGAGGTTCCCAGATGCTCTGAGTCAGAAGTGATGAGGTCAAGCACCACAGATCCATCCAAGAGGAGTGACTGGATGAGTGTCTGCCTGAGCTAAGGACATGAGAGGCACGGCTGCAGCTGGGAAGCCCAGAGGTTTCAGAGGCAGAAGGCATGCAACTATAGCTGGTCATCAGAGATGTGGAAGAATTGCCTTTTCTTCCTGATCCAAAAATGCGTAGGGTTGAGAAAAAGCAGGCACAACAAAGGTCAGCCAGGCTACTTGTGAGGCAGGAACTTCCCTCCTTTTGATGGATGTACTTATAAGAGGTTATTTAGCTCAGCAAGTGGAGTGAAACAATGTGTCCATTTCCTTGCCTTGCATTTGCCTTGAACCTTGTTTCCTGAATTGACTTCTTACCTTGGATCTTGACTTGTCTTGCCTTGACCTCTGACTTGCTTCACAGATTTTGCCTGTGCCTCATGGACTTGTTTTTACCTCATGGACTTGCCTTAGCCTTGCCTTAGCCTTGCCTTTGTCTTTTGGACTTGTCCTGCCTTGCAAATTCAGTCTGAGTTTGTTCCTAGAATGGACTGTGAAGTCTTGAGGGGTTGTGTGGTTGTTGATCTGGGAATTTCTGGGGAAAAAATATTTGGTGTGGAAAGCCTCAAATAAAACTTGATATATGTGTGTGAGAGCAGGATCAGGACACTCTGACTATTAAGTTACTGATGGTTCTGGCTCATTTTCCTAGCCAGTATCTCTTTCATCCTTTCCCTGAAATCATTCTCACACTCTATTATAGTATCTTAATTTATTGCCTGGCTTTATGTCTGCACTTGTACCTAATAACATATTGAAAAATAATCACATGTTCACTAAATTATCTGAAAATTATGTTATATTAATAGATACCAAACAATGTGCCTTTTATTTTCTAATATAAAGATAATTGTTAATTGGTTTTTTTTAATGCTACTTACTTCTAAATTGAATTCATTGCTGGTATAGCGCCCATTCAGTTCTGAACATTTGATTCTAAACTTTCTATCAGAAAAGGAAGATGTATGCCAATTACGATAGCGAATTTGCCGTAAAACCTTTTCATAGTTTTTCATAGTGTCCACACCTGAACCAGTAAAAACAAAATAAAACATAGTAAACGTTAAGAAAACAGGGGGAAAACAACTGTGAAAACTGTACCAGAAGTAAATACATATTATCACTTCCTTTAATCCAGTGCTAATGTTTCTACAGGCAGCTTCACAATCATTTGCAAATCATATGAAGACTACAAATTCTGTGTATCTAAATAATCTAGACTAGGTGTGTCAAACTGGCAGCCCAAGGTCCCACGCACCCCAGCCCCATTAATAGGAAAAACATCGTGAAAGGTCATGTGATGGCAGTGTGATGCTGTGAGTTTGACACCCATGATCTAGAGATATTCTGCTTCATTATAGCAAAAAGATGGAAACATGGCTCTTCAGATAGTGTTGAACTGCACTTTTTAATGGTTCAATCAGCACAGTCAATGGTAATTGATGCTAGGAAAGGTAGTTCAATGTAGTCGTGACCCGTCAAAAGCGCGGACGGCAAAAGCGCGATCGACAAAATCGCGCTTTGACGTCATCACAGCGCGACGAAAAAGATCGAAAAATTCAAATAAAAATTAATAAAAATTAAATTAAAGCAAGCTGATTCACATAAAGGTAAGGGTTAGGGTTAGGGTTAGGGTTAGGTTAAGGGTTAGCTTTAGAGCGTTAGCGTTAGCGTTAGGTTAAGGGTTAGCATTAGGTTTTTCGTTACTTTAACGGTTAGGTTTAGGGTTAGGTTTAGGGTTAGGTTAAGAGTTAGGTTTAGGGTTAGGTTTAGGGTTAGGTTTGGGGGGCTTAGGGTAAGGTTTTCACTTTATTTTTACATTTTTCGAACTTTTTCGTCGCACTGTGATGACGTCACAGCGCACTTTTGTCGAGCGCGATTTTGTCCTACGCGCTTTTGTGGTGGAACCCAATGTAGTACATGTTCTTTGATCTACTTTCTATAGTCAGTAATATCCACTTCATTTTCACTCAGATAAAGATTAGGATGCATCATCTTATTCGATAGGGTAAACAGTCAATGGATTTGGAATTTCTCATGCCAAACTACTTTCTAACTTCTGCATGCTGATGCATTTTATTCTTTAAAAAAACAGGTATAACATAGCCATATTAATTTATGATAAACTTATTAAGTATTAGGTTAGGATAAGATGCAGAAATGAAAAAAAATACTCAAACCATATATTGAATATCCAGCTGTAGAGTTGGTGGCTTCTATATGTTTCCCTTGAAGGTCTTTCTTGTCCAATTCCAAACACTCTTGCTTGGGATCCAATTCTGATCCAATTACCAAAATATCACAAAAATCCAAATTGTGATCCATTTTTTCTAACAGAACTGGTTTATGATCTGTGAATATTATAATAATAATAAATGTCAAATAACATTTTTTAAAAATAAACATTACTTTCCAAATTGAATTTATTTACAGGGCACTATACTCAGTTGACCTTAAGTAGTGTACAATTGTCAATCCATGACTGAAAAGAACAAAATAAAAAAATATATGCAAAACTGTCTTTGAAAAGTAAAGAATTGAATTGTTAATTTGGAAAGACACTTAATTCTTAGTGACAGCATCCAGGTGATTTTCTTGGCAATATTACAGAAGTCTTGTACCATTGCCGTTTTCAAAGTATTCTGTTTGGGTTCCCATACTTGCCAATTCCCTGGAAATCTCAGGTGTCTCAACCAAGTACTAACCAGAGCTTACCCTGCCTGCTTAATTTTGCAGATGAACCACAATTGACAAATACCGTCACCTTCTGAGACAAAACAGAATTACATAATGATAATTATGCTGATTTTAGTGACTATCAATAATATTAACTGAGTAGTCATAAATCCTCCTGAGATGTATATTTAGATAAACAGAGATACCCATTCCCACTGAAATGGAGATAACTACAACATCAATCACTATTACTAACAAAAATATGGTAGTTGTAGAATAATTTTAAAAAAATCCTGCCTTATAACAATTAAAATCAGATAAATATCTAGAACTAAATATCTAAATAACTAACTAAACAAACTAAATAAATGGAGAAAAGGAACTAATAAAATATCCACAAAATATCCATTTAGTACTATTTCCATCCTTTACCTTGTCATTAAATATAGATAATGAATAAGCATATTGGTTCATCTTGTCATTTTTAGAGAATGAAGACTTTTAAAAAATGAATGACTCATATCTTTAATCCATTCCTTAATATCAAGAGGATATATTTCTGTCCATATACAGTATGTCAGCTTATCCTCTTTGCCAAACTCCAGTTAGCAACAAAAATCTTATATATAAATCTAATATAAATCTAATATAATTTAGGAATGTAATTTATCTTTCTCACTATTACTATTTTAGGACTTTAAAAAACACTGTCTGGTAACAGTTTTCACTTGTGTGAATACAATTGAATCATTAAGAATGGTTTATATTTTCTGAACAAATGCATCTAATCAAAATACTTTAATTTTATCTATAATGGTTGGATGGATGGATGGATGGATGGAAGGAAGGCAGGAAAGAAGGAATGAAAGGAGGAGGATATGATGAAGATGAAGATAGAGAAGAACTTGCTGTGGCAAGATGTGTATTTCTATAATTATTAAATTCAGTGTTTTATTCACGATTATCTAAAAGCTTTTTCTGCAATAGTTTGTATATTCTGGGCCTATTTAATACTTTAAAATGAACTGAATGCTGTTCCTGCATGCACAACCTGCAGCACTTCTGGTAATCTACATATGGAACACAAGTTTTGGATTCTGAAAATATCACTAAAAATAATTAAACTATACAGAAGAGTTTCTCAGCTACCTCTATTTGGTATCAAAAATGTTTACCAAATATGCAGAGGATCTTTATATAAACAAAGGAGATAAGCACTCTAAATCAACCATCACTGTATTTTAGCTGTAACTGTTTTCATATTCCCTAAGACATAATCCTTGAACAGCTTGGTATTGATCCCTACAACAGAATTATTTATATATTTTCAGGTGTTAGGAAGTAAAGCTTAAACATGGGTTTCCATATTAATGAAAATTGATCATGCTGAAAATTCATTCTTTGGGAAAGTACTATATAGATAAAAATTCCATCATTCAGTGATGACTGTTATGAAAGAAATGTGTGTGAATCTGTATGCAAAATGTTTTAAAATTTCTTATTATAGTTAATAGCATAACAGAGAATCTCAGCACAATTGTCAAATGATTTGTAATACAGAGCAGAAGTCTGTGGACAAGCGGGTATAAGTATTTGTATCATGAATTATTCCTCAACACTATAAGGAACACTGTTGTAGAATGAAAAGTTTAGAAAAACAAAACTGTGCGTCATTAAATATTTCAACTTCTTTGAGGTTTTAAAATAATAATACTGGAAATAATTCAATAATCCCAAAGATTTTCCAACACTAATTCACCAACTGGTTATAAAATGTATTCATGCAAAAATGACTTTTTGTACATCATTCTAAATCAAAATGCAATTTTGTTGAGCATGGCTGAGATGTGTGAATCCAACTAAAATGTCTTTTGCATGCCATCAATTAAATGAATTATCTTTTATGATGAAGGCCAAGGATATCCATTTCTGTCACTTCAGACAGATGACCCCCCCTCCCTTAACATGCAGTAGATCAAAGTTAAATTGTTCACTGTTTATGTGTCCATCCTCTTGTTGCAAACAAAGAGAATCTTTAGGTTGTATCACATTTTCACCAATAATAATTAGGCCACAGTGTTTACAGTAAATGAAATTATGGGGGGGGGGGTGCAGATTTGGCAACACTATTGCTTCTAGACCTAATAAATTCTGAGAAATTAGTTCACGTAAACCTTATTTCATTAGTGTGATTTACCAGAGAGCTTACTGACATTCTTTAGCTTCTTTTCTGTTTTCTACCTGTCCTGAGCTAGCTATTTAATTAAAACAAATTGACACAACTGGAAGAAGTACAACTGTTCAGCAGACATAACTAGGCAATAACTAGAGTTAACTAGTTAACTCTAAAATGTCTGTATGACATCTAACAGGTAATTACCATATTTAATTATACTTTGTTCCATCACATGCTATATGAAGAGCCGCTCTTGAAAGTGATTCCGAGACATCTGTGCTTAGTTCATCACAGTGTTCCTTATGGTGCATATATAACAACTTTTCAAGGCATTGGTGATAATAAACAGTGCAGGGTAAGTTCATTTAATAAACTGCTATCTTCCTTACAGACTTTCAATTTTTATAGTTTGATGGGGATATTAGCTTTTAATTAGTTGTGGGTTAAATATTTACTATTTTACTATTACTATTTTACTGCCCATTTTTTGGTATTTATTATAACCAATCACTATTTTATAAATGCAAATCAGTAAATATTATAAATAAATATACATATTATAAATAGATTAAACAACCAAGGTTGGTCTGCTCAGGTTGTTATTTCCCAAAGGATGACAGTACAGGAAACTTTTACCATGACATTTTAATTATGGTAGTTATAAATGTTGCACAAGACAACATTGTCAATGTGGTCTCCCTGACTCTCCAGAGATCACAAAGGACAAAGCAAAAGGAATAGCTGTTCTTTTTTTTAAAGTTGTTTCCCCTCCCTAAATCAGTGCTTATCTGATATATGCTTTGTTGGCTAGAATGAACCAAGCAGGGGAAGGCGAAAATAAAATAAGCTCCCGCTTCTCCAATGTATTATGCACTTTACTGAAGGACAATAATATTTAAGAGTCATAGACCATATTATCTAGCCTTAAACAATTTTCTTCCAAGGTTACAACCATCTTAGCGGAGCCTGTTTCTATACGTTATTCATTTATATTTGGTATTAAATTCTACTTAAGTCATGAAAATCATAAACCTAAAAAAAATGCAACATACCTCTAGTTACAGTTTCCTTCAGGTCAGAGGGATGTTCCATTTTAGAAACCGTGCTGACAATTCTGACATCCGGTAAAAGAATCACTCCTCTTTCATGTTCAAATTGTGTGGCAGGTCTTGCAAAGTGATCCATTCCAGTTATTGTAATCTTGGGCTCCTTGGCTTGTAACACCATTATATAGGCATCTATATCTGGAATACTAATGCAGGTGTCTTCACCAAAACATCTGAAAAATATACCATTTAACTTCATGGAAGATTAAGCATTCATTCATTTTTCTTAAGAAACACACAGTTGAAAGAGAATATTTACCCAGAAATATTGGGATATTTGCACACTTAGTTTTTAACACCTACTCGCTGACCAGCTTCAGAATTACTCGGTCCCATATGAGCATTAAAATACAGTTTCTCAAATTATTTATGAACAGCGCAGCATGCCATTGACAGGTATGATCTTTACAAAGGTCACTGCACCCATACAACTTAAACTCATAAATAACATAACAAACAGTCAATGGTTAAATCTGATTAAATGGCTTATGTATTTTTAATTGCATACTCAAACTGATATTTAAAAGGCTTGATAAAGCTATCTTGTTAAATGTGCATTGAAAAACTAATTGCCTATTTTATACTAAATGCATCAGAAGGCCATTTTGTACACATCCCAGAACTCCATGGGCATGCAGAAATAGTAGAAATCATAGTCACTGTAACAATTAAGCTGCTGGCCAATTTATTAAAAGATGAGTGTTGCTGATAAAACTCTTTCACTTATGCCAAAATTAAAAAGTCCTCAACATGAGTTTACTGATGCATTGCTTCTATTATCAAGCTTAGTGAATTTAACTTACTGGACTTTGGATGACACTTTAAGGCGGCGAATACCTGAAGTTGGAAACTGCCTTGAGTTGATATAGGAGACTTTTTGGAGAGCTTGATTTATATTCTCAATGTCATCTCCTTCTATAACAAGGACTGACTGGGAAGGATTGAAGTGATACTGCAGAGGTGGTGAAAGGATATAATTAGTTTTTTTTTTTAAGGAAAATGATATAAAGCAACTCATTGTAACACCTAAAATAAGTCTGTTCTTAGATAAGGTCACAAAATAAAGAAAATCTGTCATTTTATTAGTTAACACTTATTTCATTCCAGTTAACTTGAATTAAAAGCCAAAACAAATACTTTGAATCAAAATAAATTTCTCTACAATCCAGATTTAACTAGGGCAATCTACCATTTCTATACATTTGTGTATACTTAGAAACAATTCTAACACAAATGTTCTTGAAAGCTAGATACAATCTTTCTTTTTATTGCTCTATTTACGTCTCAAACCAATTGCAATTTCATCAAGGCGTGTCACTGTCAGGCCAACTCAAAAACACTGCATGAGACTTGCCCCTGACAGCTTGTTTCGTTTTTGCCACCTGCTGTCTAACTGGCTCTGAAAATGGCTGAAAAGGTGAAAATGAATGAAGAAACTTGCACCATGCCAGCTTCTAGATCAGAAACTAAAAATGTTTTGAAGCTGAAACATTAAACTTTGGATTCTTTTCCCCAATACACAGTTCGATCATAGAAACAACAGTTGTCAATACCAGATATTGCTGCAGGCAAAATGGAAAACAAGAATTTTGGTTCTCTCTAGCAAATAAACATCATCCTCAAACAGGACAAACAAATGCATTCTTAAAGGGCGAGGCAAGTGGTGAATTTGCATTAGATGTTGGTATGCAAGTAGTAAAGGTGGCTATTGAAGTGCAACATACCCACGTATGATTTTTTTCTTTTAAACATGTGTTCAGTGCTTACAAAATTGTCTCCGGCAGCTAATGGTTCATTGAAGAACTGCATGAGCTTCAGGGTGCCAAAAAGTATTACTAAGTATTACTAATACATAACAAACACAACATCTTCACTCTTTAGTTACAGTAAGATAATTTCATCAAGCAAGAGTAATCTTTCTGAAGAATGATTTCTGGGTTTAACTGGTAAGTTATACAAGATTCAGGGAAATTTCCTTCAGCAACTCCTGATGACAAAAACAATGTATGGTGTAATCTTCAACTAAGTTTGGTGCAGGGGTATCAGCTTCAAACAGTTTTGAAAATGATGTTTCTGGTTGCCAGCTCACTCTGAGAATAATGTATTCTCAATTGATCAATATGACATTGCCATACTAGACCATCTGAACATTAAACTTGTATGCCACTAGTACTTTGATCTCAGTGACAGTTGAGGAAACCAACCATAGATCCTTTCCAAAAACCTCTTCATTTAACAAAAATAAATACAGAATAGGAATAAATAACTTTTCCGGTTCTTGCTTACTTTGTAAATATTATAAAGAATGAAAAGTCAAGGCTATTGCGCCATACGTAATTCACCAGAATGATTTATGTTTTGAGAAAGGAGTAGTATGTTTCTACAAGAAGGAATCTGACTCAGTATCTTCCAACAATTTGCTTTATTTAATCCAAGATTACCTGCATCATCTTCTCAGCCTACCTATTTGGTTGAAGATTATTTTGGTGGATTAAGGAGACTGTAAAATCTTGGAAAAGCATATTGTTCATAAAATGCTTAAACTTCTTTGATAAACACACATATGTTATCTAAGATGATAATATCAGGCAATCGGATTTCCAAATAAGTGGTACAATGCTATTATTGTTGCAGACAGTTTTGAATAAGAGTACAGCATCCATTAGTTCTTTTTCTGAAATAGTCTCACAAAATCAATAGGGAGTCATCACAAGGTGTTTTTATTACTTCCAAGGAGAATACCATTTTTCCACTGCCCAGATCAGTCCCTAGCCAATAAACATACTTCTTGCCAAAACATTCATAATGTTTCAGGAAGTATGACACTTTGATGGCTCCTTACAGTAACACAATTTCTGTGCTAGAAAAAAACAACCTTTATGGTGAGATGTCTCAAGTTGATGGTTTTGAATGGCTTAAATTCCAGTAGCCTGTGAACTGACCAACCCTTATACAGCCAATTTAACACATGAGTTACTTTGGGGTCTCAGGCAGGTAATTTTGCAGTTTGATCAGCCTGAAATGGTAGGTGTGGGAGGGCAATCAGCATTTAGAGTTCCAGCATTGATGGCAGTTTAAAATCTGGCATTTTATATAGCAGGTAAGTCAGACTATCACTTCCAGCTATTATTATTCCTGGCAATAGATGAGTGAGTAATCATTAGCATTAACCAGGGGAGTGTAATGATGTATACAAATATCAAGGATATAGGCTTTGTATTAGAAAAGATCCTCAAAAGAGTTTTGAAGTCAGTATAAATTTCGAAAATATGGCCACAGAGAGAGCCTCTCTATGGACCCTTTTGACTCCTGGAATAAAGCTGGAGCCTCTTTTTCAATTTGAACATAGTTTCTTTCAGAAGAAGATAAAGTCCTAGAATAATAACAAACTGGCACCTCTATATTGCTTGGCATTGTGATGAAACAAAGTTCCAATATTGCAAAGAAAAGCATAGCAGTTTCTTTTCTTTTTTATAATAAAGCAAAGAAGTATTTTGTTTTAATTTTTAGAAAGCACATGTTGTAAGTACACTGCCACTGAATCCCTTTTTCAGTAGACAAAGAAGCACTGCAGCCAAAGTTTCCTCTTATGGAAGGAACATATGATAAAAATCAAGGAGTAGTAATAAAACTTGAGTTCCTGTTTTCATTTTCTAATGGTACATGATGGATTAGCAACCTAGAACTAAGGACACATTTCCTGACAGTTAGAAAAATTAATCAGTGCAACGATTTGCCTCCAGAAGTTGTGAGTGCTCCAGCGTTGGAAGTTTTTAAGAAGAGAGTGGACAGCCATTTGTCTGAAATGGTGTAGGGTTTCCTTCCTGAGCAGGAGGGTGGACTATAAGACCTCCAATGTCCCTTCCAATTCTGTTATTCTGCTATTAACCAGACATCTTTGACTGGATGAATTCTTAAAATCTAGTAGCAAATTATTCCACTTTTTATCTTATATTTAGGATTTAATTAAAGCACAGCATCATACTCAAGATTCCAAAAAAACAGAATCTTTGAAGTGATGGAATATTCCACACAATATAGAAATCCTGGAATTTTGAAACTGGAATTTTAGAGCAGATAATTTCCCATGTTGGCTAATGTAGTTGGACATCTGGATATAGTATCATAAAAAACTATACTATCTCTGTTTTAATGATTCCTCCCTACCCCCATTCCAAGAGCAGCAAGCAATACAATGCAAGCAATATTAATGGATGTTGTATATTTACTGTAAATATAGTTATATTTACAGTGCATTCATAATCTGTACAAAGTCTAATTTTTATATGAGATTTCCTACTGGCCTGGAGCCTCTATGGCAGTGGTTTTCAACCTTCCTAATGCCACGACCCTTTAAAACAGTTCCTTATGTTGTGGTGACCCCCAATCATAAAAAAAAATTCATTGCTACTCTACAACTGTACTTTTGCTACTGTTATGAATCGTAATGTAGATATTGATATTGGAAGACTGCTATCATATCATCCTTAAGTCCTTCTTTTCCTTCAACCAGACATACCCAGTTCCTGCAACTGTTCTTCATATGTTTGAGCTTCCAGTCCCCTAATCCTCTTGGTTGCTCTTCTTTGTACTTTTCCTAGACTAGAGTCTCCACATCTTTTTTATAGAGGCAGCCAACATATTGTCTGCTCCTAAATTTTGGGTCTGAAAAGAATCACATCCTGGAGGCTGGACAACCTTGGCTGCTATACAAACATACACACACATACACAGAGACACACAGTGGCTTTATTCTCACAGCCTCCTTAACTAAATTGCCTGCAGCTGCATTCACAAACTTGCTTACCCTGCCTGGATGGATCTTCAATCTGGTTTGGAGTTGTTTGCAAGAGTGCTCTTAACCTTGGTGATGGTGGTAATGTTAACCTTAAGTTATTGGGCAAACATCATGCATTGTTTATTTTTATTTTTTTAAGAAAAGTTTTTTAATTTTCTCTTTCAAGTTCTTTCACAAATATACACTCTTATAATTACCATTAATTATATCATTATCAACAATCATTTATCATTATTTTCTTACAAATATATAGAATACAGTTTGGGTCTTTTTCTTGCCACCCATTTTATTTTGCAACAACCTTGCTCCTTCTATCTTCTCTACCTCCCTTCTCTTCCTTCTTCTTTCCTCCTCTCCTTCCTCCATTCTTCTTCCCTTCTCTTTACTCCTCCTCTTCTCCTCCTTCTTACCCTCTCTCCTACTCTTGATTCCCCTCCTTTATTCCCTCTGCTTTACCCTTTCTTCCTTTCCCTCCTCATTTTTCCTCCTTTCTGTTGTTGCCCTGGCTTATTTATTTTCTCTGATGGGTTCTTGGGGTGGCATTTCAGGAAACCCAACTTTATATTTTCATACATATTATTTTCCTGTTACATTTTATTTCTAATAATAATTCCACTTGCATCATTTTTTTTAATTGTTATCTTGCATTGCATTTTTTTTTGCTCTTTTCCTTTGTGCATGGTTTATGGTACTTTTAGCAAGCAGGTTTTCATTGTGTGAATTGGGCCAATTCGGGCTCCTGAGCTTGGCTCTTGATGACAGGTCTGGTTATGGATTTAGATATAGTTAAAAGTACCTGGCAGTGGTGTGGAAAACATAGCCACATGCACGCCTTGCATAATTGCAGCCTGGAGCAGGACCTAAGCCCCTTCCTCCCTCGCAGGAACACTTTCCCTCCATTACGAAGTCTCCGAGGCTAATTGTACGGGGTGTGCTCATGCACACCTTGTACAACCCACAGGTTCAGAACCGCTGCTCTATGGGGATGACAGCGAAACCAAAGACCTCCCTCTTTCATGCATATGTTAATGTCAGGCATTTACCAAGGAGTGTGCTTTTGATCAGGCAGTTGTAACTATCATGTTGGCTTTTTGTAATGGAATGTGTGAATGAATCTGGAGATGGGGGGAAGAGATGTTACCCAGGAAACAAGCAGACAAGAGATGGATCTTAATGCTCAGAGAAAGAAACTTAGGAAGGACCCACCCTAATTGATCAGGAGATTAAAAGTAGAGACTGGAAGTTAGTTTCTTCAGACTTGCAAGATTCTGTTAATGTAGAATTACAATAAAGTAGGATTAGCTTATCTAGTCGGGTTTTCTGTCTGATTCACTTGGGAGGGCTGACATCATTTCTTAAATGTTTTTTGAGTATACACAAGTATTATTCAATGTTTCATTGCATTCTCTTTGTTATTTATATCACAAAGCGTTGCCAAGCGCTTGGCAACTGCTGTGTGATATAAATTTTGACCACATGACCACGAGGATGCTGCAATGGTCATAAGTGTGAAAAATGATAAGTCACTTTTTCAGTGCCATTGTGACTTTCAATGGTCACTAAAGTGACTGTTGTTATTCAAGGACAATTTGTATTTATGAAATTCCACAAACTGAATTTGAAGTCGGAAAAAATTATAATGTAATACAATGCAATACATTTTCATAGAAATTATTTTCAACCTTTACAGAATTTGAGAGTGTTGATTCATATTGAAAAATCTTTAATTCTGTTTTCAATAAATATTTTAATTTGTTTTTTGAAAGAATAAAAATTGTAGCAAGTATAGAATGGTAGATTGAATGCATCTGTAATATATTTGTCCGACTTTTTAATCAATACTTATCTTCTGTGGCTTACTCCCACTGGTGGGATGTCAAATGGTTTGTATACATAATGTGTTATAGTTTGTGAAATATGCACTAGGGGCTTGACTTTTTAAAAAAGTCTGATGAATTGTTTCTAGAAAAAAAAGTAATTTGTGTCTGTTTAGTATTGCACAAAAGCAAATGTTGACTTGATGCAAAGATTCAAGTAAGTCCTCAAACTTGCAATCTGTCCTTTTTGATCATACTGATATGTTATGTCCTCCATAAACAATAATAAAAAAGGTTTTATCTTCTGCAAACAGTTCTAGTTATAAAATTTTAGTGTCATACTTCCACAACTTATCATATCATATTATTATTATTATATTAGCATATCAGACATTAGTACAATTGAGAGGCTAGGGATATTTCACGACAAGAATCCTCCACTCCTCTGCTCACAACAAATTATTTTATACCACCAGGCTTGAAATTTTGGGCTTAAACAACTTAGAACTACGCTGCGTTTGGTCTGACCTGAACATAGTACACAAAATTATCTGCTACGATGTCCTACTTGTCAATGACTACTTCAACTTCAACCACAACAATACACGAGCTCACAATAAATACAAACTTAATGTAAACTGCTCCAAACTCGATTGCAGAAAATACGACTTCAGCAACAAAGTGGTCAATGCCTGGAATACACTACCTGACTATGTGGTTTCATTTTCAAACCCCCATAACTTTAACCTTAGATTGTCTATTGTTGACTTCACCCCATTGTTAAGAGGTCTGTAAGGGGTGCACTTAAGTGCACCTATGTGCATACCATCCCTGTCCTACTGTTCCCACTTATTCATAATCATGTTTATACTTATATCTGTTATCTTATACATGCTTGACAAAATAAATAAAAAATAAAATAAACTTGCAAAGGTTTTTTTTGGGTAGGTGTGTGTGAAGTCTTTCACAAGTATTCTTTGATTTTACATACCTTTTAATATGTATTTGTGTTGCATCTCATAGGAAACTCACTTGCTTCTACGCAGAATTATTTCACTGACAGAATGAAATGGAAATCCTGAATGGTTGTGAAGCACTTATACCATTTGATTTCTATAGGTTTACACTAGAAAGAACACAGTTGGTGTCCCAATGTTCCACTTTTACTGTGTCTTTGTGTGACTTTATGGCAAATTAGATTGCTTCTTGGAGTGCTTTTGTATTCTATCTTGTGCTCTATACTTCATAAATCAGTTTTAGATGTTGGTAAAGATTGCATCAATTCATTTCTTACCTTTATTCCTTGGCCAAGACTCTCCAGGGAATTAATATCCAGACCTTCCTTGCAAGCCTGCAAGCAGGAAATCACTTTTTGACTCTTAATTTTGCCTGGCCGTATGGTAAGACTGGCAAGACTGCCATGGAAATACTGAGTAAATCTGGGCTTTGTGACTTCTCCTCCTATTGAAAAGAAACCACAAATTGTCTTGAGTAATAATTCAAACATGCAGATATTTTTGGGAATATCAATATTGTCTGCACTGTCATTTGAAACATTGGATATAATTAGGCTGCTATTCTTATAAACAAAGTTGTAAGAAGAAAATCACTTATACCCTATTATTTTGGAATTAAATAATTCTATTTATAGTTCTATCATCATTTATTGCACATACATTAGGTGTGAAAATATATCCTAGCCTGAAACATAACATTAAAAAATCATTTCTGTAATATATGATGGAAAAACTGTTCAGTTTAGAAACAGGATAAATTCAACATCTCATAAATATATGTTAAATATATGAAGAGATTCATGTTCAATATAGTAAAACGAAAAGCTGAAAACAACATGCCAGATTTAAAAATAACATATCAGCCAAATTAAATCTAAACGGTGAATAGTAATATCTCTGAAAGCAGAAATAGATATGCTAAATTAATAAAATGTCCAGCAATTTGCTTAGCTACAACACAAATTTACATAATACTTCTATGCTTCTCTGTAATGGTTTCTTGAAATATAGATAAGAAAAAAATAAATAAACAGTAATATTGATGTGAAAAGAAATTATACATTTGCAGTCATATAGGAACAGATTGGCAAGGTTTCTATGAATATACAGGATTTTCACTCTCTTTTAACCTTCCGAGTAAGTGAATTCTTACAGAAATTTTCAGAGGATCAAGATAATAAGTGGAGCTATGGTGGTGCAGTGGTTAGAATGCAATATTAAAGGCTGACTTTGCCTAGCCAGGAGTTCATTCCTGACCTGTTCCAGGTTGACTGAGCCTTCCATCCTTCCGAGGTCAGTAAAATGAAAACCTAGATTGTTGGGGGCAATATGCTAACTCTGAAAACTACATACAGTGTTGTAAAGCACTATGAAGCGATATATAAGTCTAAATAATAAGTACTCTTGCTAGGCTTATGCAGAAAAACAAAACATACAGGATATTTTTGAAAGATAATAGTCGCAAAAACTATTGATCTAAAGCAGTGTTTCTCAACCTTGGCAACTTGAAGATGTCTGGACTTCAACTCCCAGAATTCCCCAGCCAGCATCCGCTGGTCTAAAGTATGTTAAAATCAGACACAAATCACTAATTGCATGAGCTACAATTAAATCTGTGGTACAGTTCTCTCCATATTGAAATATTCCAGCAAATAAATTCTTCAGAAGTTTCCACAGTTTATGTATTGGATTTTGTGGGGTTTTAAATATTAAAACCCTGTCACACGTATTAGGTATATGTAAATATTAACAGTGAAGTAGTTTTGTTTTGGAGAAAGAGGTTCAGGTTCCAAAGAATTAGGATTCAGAATATCATGGCATCAGTTATTATAAATGACAAATTTGCTTAAGATGACATTGGTTTATATAGTAAGAAAAGTGAATGAGGAACACCTTTCTGGATGAGTGTTTCACAACTTGATTTAAATATGCATATTTTTATATTTTAAAAAATCACTTTTATAAATAACTATTAGGAATAAACATGTTGGCATCATTTATGTGACAGCATCACAGGTCTTCCCTGGGAAAGAAAGAAAGCAAAGTCTATAGCACTGATAAATGAATGGGATTCCTTATAGTTCAAAGTATTAAATTATCTTCTCAAGGGGCTACAAACACTGGTCATATCTTTCAGTGCCAAACATCAGCCAAACAACAAAATTAAATAAAGAAGACAGTTCAAGTGAAATGCATTCGTATGTCCCGCAAAAAAAACCAAAAAACAAAACCACCTGCATCATAAAATTAATGACAAACCTTATTGCCACTGTACCACCTGAGCCCAGGCAAATGCTGCCAAACTTCACAAGCATTTAGTTACTTGCAACAATCAATATACAATTGATTGTTTTTGGAAACTTGAAATGGCAAACACATGGCCTTTTCTCTGTATCTGAACATGCCACAATAAAATTAACCATTTAAGTAGTTATGACAAAAATGTACTCTTGTCACTGGAGTGCCAAAACACTGATATTTCCTTCACACTTTTGTAAAATCAAAAATTTTAAGGGACTTATTTTGACTTTCAATGTCAGTCCATTGCTCAGTGAATGGAATTCCATTTAAAGTACTCCTAATAGCTATGAGTTTAACCACTTGTTTAAACACATCCAGTAAAAGGAAGCTCAATATCTCCCTCAAATGATTAATCCAGCTATTGTGAAGCTGTTCTTACTATCATTGTTAAAATTAATCCGATTAACTGAAACTTAATACCGCTGTCTTTTGTTATACAGCAGGCCAGTGCGTGTTCTCAAAAATTATCTATCATTTATAATTTGGAAAGACTGTTGTTTAGCTTCCAGTTAGGAATTGATTTCATTTTTTAAAAGAAGAAAATGTAAATAAAATAAGAAGAATGATATCTTAGAGGTAGATGCCAAGAAAGATAGAAAGAGAGAATTTAGATACTCCATGAATACATTGTAACCCTAAGGAAATAAATTTTGTTTCTATGTTTTAATTAAATAATTTGTGCTACTACGTGTAGTTCTTAGGATGGAAATTGAATTCTTATGATTTCTACCTTGATCTCATGGGATACAAGGCAAAATGAATTATACCTAATTTTTTGCCAGATCTTGATACAGAAAGATTACTATATAAGAAAAAGGGACCAGTTATATCTTGGCTTTGTGGAAGATATTTTCTATTTAATAGGAAGATTTTTTTATCACAGGTAAAGATAAATATTGCTGCAATGCAATGACCTGAATTACTGAGAATCTTTACAGACCAGTGGTGGATTCCAGATCACGTTGCAACCGGTACAGTTGAAATGGGGTCTGGCGTCCTCCACATGAACATGTTCAGCATGCACATATGTCTTACCGTCCAGCCACGCCTCCGCACCAGGCCAGCTGCTCGGCGGAGCATCACGCAGGTACTGTACACACCATGTACGTGCATGGAAGCGCCAAAGAGTTTAAAGACAGATAAGGCGCACAGGGGGCAGGTGGGCCGTATTCCACTGTATTGGAACAATACCTGGTACTCCGGGCAGGCTCCGGTATACCCATACCGGGGCATCCGCCTGCAACCCACCATTACTACAGACTTTTAGCTATACAATTTGGGATGAATACTTTGAATGATATGGGAGTAGAAATGGATTTCCAGAAAAAAAACACTGCAGACTACAGGAACCAGGAGCAGTGACGTGCAGTCACGGGAGGTAGGGCCTCACCACTGTCATCATGAAAAGAAAAAAAAATGTAAAAGGAAAAAGGCTGCGGTAGTTGCTGCCAGAGTCACAGTGAATGACTCTGCTTAGTGCTTAACTGTTTAAAAAAGCCTCTTAAAAAGTGCCCTCTACAGGAGGCGGGAGAACCACATGCTTCCTTTAGTCCAGTGATCCCCAACCCCCGGTCCGCGGACCGGTGCCGGGCCGTGGAGTACCTGGCACCGGGCCGCGCAGCGGCCGGGGGCCATGATCGCTGCAGCGGCCGGGGGCCATGATCGCTGCAGCGGCCGGGGGCCATAGTTTCTTTCTGTATGCAAATTAGGGCTAACTGGCACAAGGGGTGTTACTGGACCGCTGGTGGCACTCTGACGTCACCAGCGGCCCACCGCCCCCCTGTGTCCAGCGCCGCCCTTCTCATTCCTTTTCAGCGCTTCAGCGCTGGCCGATTCCTGAAAAAAACCTAAGAGCGCCTGCGCAGCTACGTAGGGCTAGCGTAGACAGCGCTAGTAGCGTAGCCTTGCGTAGGCGCAGTTTGTGCTACGCTATCTACGCTAGCCATACTGAACAATCAATGTGTCATCGCGAACAACGCCCCCCCACCCCTGCGCGTGCTCAGCGGGCCACGGTAAAATTATCAAAGGCTGACTGGTCCGCGGCGATAAAAAGGTTGGGGACCACTGCGTTTAGTCTATCTTTACGATCACTCGAGCAGAGTTAAGCAAGGGTTAAAAGCTGAAAAATTCCTTATGTAGATGAGGCACGTGGTTCTCTTGCCTCCTCCTGTAGAGGGTGTTTTTTTAAGAGGCTTTTTTAAACAGTTAAGCAGAGTCATCCTTTGGGGACTCTGGCAGCAGCTAACCCAGCCTGACCTCAGCAGCTCTTGCCTTTTCATTTTACATTTTTACATTTTCATCATGGCAGACAAGAGCAGAGTTGAAATCTTCTGTGAAATAGCTGGAAAAGGTATGTGGGTCGGAAGGAGGTGGAGGAATTCAAAATCAATGTAATTTGTAAGTAATTGTATTATTGTAAGTAATGTGTGTGTGTATGTGTGTGTATGTGTGTGTTTTACCCGCCTCTGCTGGTGGGCAGGCTGGCATTTTTTTTTATGTCGGACTTAGCGGCAGGGCTTTTGAACATAGCGACAGAGCTTTTGGACATAGCGGCACGGCTTTTGGACGCCCCGGCGCTCTGTCCACCATAGAGGCGGGACACCTCTATGTCGGACACAGCAGCAGGGCTTTTGGATGCCTGTTTTGGACACCTCAAAAGCCCTGCCGCTGTGTCTGACATAGGGTGGCTTTTGTCCGCTTGCCTCACCAGCCATAAACCTCACCGCACATCACTGACCAGGAGCATTACTCAGATGATCCTGAGGATACAGATAAATCTACAAGTGCTTCAACAATCCTATAAAAGGATGCAAATGATCAGCTGTCTGCAAGAAATATAAATCCTTCCATTCCCCATTATCCTGTCAGAGCTGAAGAAGCTTCTTGGATGAGAAGTGAGATGTCTTCAAAGAAAAAAAAGCAGAAAGTCTAGTTGCCTTGTGAAAAAGCACCTTTGGGACAATGTAATGACATTTTTTAAACGAAAAAAAAAACATGTTACTAAAGTATGATAAATATTTTTTAAATCTATGTAACTGTTTATAGGTTTAAAAAAGAATTGCAAACAGTAAAAATAGGACAATTTATTATTTTTATTGACCTGCACTACTTTTATTTATCACTTTGAAACTTTTATATCAATACCATATTTAAGAGAATTTTCTAATAAAAATGCAAGTTAAATTGCATGCTAATAAACTGAATAAGGAAAATATTGTTCAGGAGAAATTATATATTAGAATAATAACATAGGGGAGAAGGCTTCATAGGAAAATATATGTATTTCTGGAAAAATTAATAATAATTTATTTTTAATTAATAATAATTAAAAAAGTACCAAGGATTTTTTTCCTGGAACTATTTTTTAAAAAATTATTCTGATATTTAATAGAATTAAATAATCTACAAGTAGCTGCAATATGGGTATGGGTCAAATTTAGACTGATTAGTACATCCATACTTATGGGACTGTGATCTATAATCTAGCATTGTTATATTTTTATGGTTCCTCTTCCATTAATTAAAAATAAATAGTAATATTCAATCATAACCAAAAGACAGAACCTCAGAATGCTAAAAAGAAATACTTTATTTCTACTCCCTATGTTTACGATCATTTCAATTAGCATTATTCATACATTAGCCAATAATAACCATGGGACAATTGAGAATGCTCATGGCATCCCTGTCTTTCCTATGCAAGTGGCTAAAATGACTGCTGAGTTTTTCTCTAAACATAGTCACAATCACTGATAAATGATGTAACTTCACTAACTATAGCCAATTACAATTAAATATATTTATATCAATATATCAATTATATATCAACAAGGGGAATTTGGAGAAAAAGAGTGCATAGAAATATTTTTTTCGTATTTTATAGTACCAGTAATGTTGCATGTTATGTGTTGGAAAAAAATCACTGCAAATTTTATTATCATAGCATTTTCAAATATAATAGGAAAAAAACCTGTAAATTAAAAAGTAATTGCCTTGTATTGATCAACAACAGTTTCTTTCTAAATCCTTATAGCTAATGCAAAATAGTGGATTGGCTGGGATTCAGATGTCTAATTCAGACTGTCTTGTCCAAATCTTTATTTGTTAGGTCAGGGATTGAATAAATAACTTAATGTACTAAACAAGTAGCTGACAAAATTGTTGCTTCAACAGGAGAACTTTGGAGCAAATATTATGACATTTGACATCTTCCTAGAAAGCTCTTGTACAATGTGTGATAACTCTTTAGTTTGTGGTAGATTTTTCAGTGCAGTTGAAAAAAGATACAACTTTTTGAGATCTTTAATCAATGTGTCTGTTTCATACAAAATATAATTTGGGCACCACTTGTATTTCATCTGCATAGCAAAAGAAACGGCTATGTTCAAATGCAAAAGATAATTGGTTAGAGATAACTGTCTTCTATTCTCTATTCAGTCTTATTCAGAGAAAGAGAAAAGGATAGGCAGGTGGGCTGACAGCCAGTTATGTGAATGACAGAATAGCAGGTGGTAATGATGTCTTCTCTTTTAATATGGAACACATTCAAAAAATAAGCTGAAATTGTATGAAACATGTTTCAACAGAATATTTTTTAGCCAATAGACAAAATGTCTGAAAATATGTAATTTTATGCCTAAAATTGATTTTCATAGGTGTACATTAATACATAGCTCCTGAACTTGCTTAATTATGATCTGCTAGATTTGGCTTTCTTCTATGTTTAGGATAGATTTACTTTTTATTATCTAAATAAAAAGCCAGTTTGGTCTAGTAGTTAAGGAACCAGGCTAGAAACAGGAAGGCTGTGAGTTCTATTCTCACCTTAGACATGAAAGCCAACTGGATGATTTTGGGCAATCACTCTGTCTCAGCCAACTCAGCTCACTTGTTGTGGTGAAAATAGGAAGAAGAAGGAGAGGAAGGAAGGAAGGAAGGAAGGAAGGAAGGAAGGAAGGAAGGAAGGAAGGAAGGAGGAGGAGATGAGAATGAGAAGAAGCAACAGCAGCATCATTAGGAAGAAGCATTGCTGCCTTGAGTTATTTATAAAAATAATAAAGGCAGAATTAATGAAATGAAAGTCAGTCAGTTTGGTGTTGTGGGTAAAAATCTATGGATTAGAAACTGGGAGACCATGAATATGCCTTAGGCATATACCCAGCTAGGTCACTTTAGTAAAGCATAAGAATGAGGCAATGGTAAAAGATTTCCAAGCTTTTTCCAATACTTATTCTGGCAGTTACAGGAGTCAACAAGGATTCAAAAGCAAAACAAAAGCAAAGTCACTCATATTTCAAGTGGGTTTTTTATTTTCAAAATTCCTTTTAGTTAAACTTTCTGTTTTGTACTTATCTCTAGGCAATTATTTTAATCCTTTTATGCTAATTTTTAGACCTATAGTTACATTTGCATTGTGTTGATTAATGGCAACCATAAAGATTCATCTGATTTGAGTTTGGAAGGCAGTTTTATTTAATGCAATAAAATGTTTTACTTTTACAGTACTAATGGTTACCTTTTTGCTCTGAAACATATATTTCAGTTGTGTATTTCTTTTTTAAAAAAATCTCTAACTAAATTTTTGCTCCAGAAATAGCAAACCACAAAACTGTTTTCTTCATTTATCCATTTTATTTATGTTGCTATTGTTGTATTGTTTTTGAGGTTCTAAAAAGTGGCAATCAATGGACATAGAAATGTATCTCAGGAAATAACCAACCAAGAGGAAAAGAATGAAGACAGGATTTCAAGTGAGGAGTTAAGTTAAGCTCAGAGACAGGATTATTTACAAGACACATATCCAGGGAAGGCTACAATAAATTTTCTGCTGCACTGAAGGTTCCTAAGAGCACAGTGGCCTCCATGATTCTCAAATGGAAGAAGTTTGGCACAATCAGGACTCTTTCAAGAACTGGTCGCCTGGTCCAACTGAACAATCAGAGGAGAAGGATCTTAGTAAGAGAAGTGACCAAGGACCCAATGCTCACTTTGACTGAGCTCCAGAGATCCCATGTGGGGATGGGACAGAGTTTCAGAAGGACAACCATCACTGCAGCCCTCCACCAATCTGGGCTTTATGG